TTTACTTGATGTTTGTAGGAATCACACGTTCAAAGTTACGTAGGCTCAGTATAGTTTACTTGATGTTTGTAGGAATCACACGTTCAAAGTTACGTAGGCTCAGTATAGTTTACTTGATGTTTGTAGGAATCACACGTTCAAAGTTACGTAGGCTCAGTATAGTTTACTTGATGTTTGTAGGAATCACACGTTCAAAGTTACGTAGGCTCAGAATGAAAACTGAGAAGTTGATCTTTACCTGGAGGAGAAGGAGAGTGTTTTTCATATTGGTGTACTATCTGTTTACCACATAGCGTGTACAGTTTCCTTCTATAAATATTGATTATTAAAACGTTCTTTGATCTAACCATTAGGATTAGAACATTTATTAAGACTCTTAATAAGTATAAAGATTAAAGATATATTGCGAAGGTAAAACAACTCAAACAACACATTCATGTACGCGCCTCTCGGTGGCTCAGCGGTAAGACTGAAGGCTTTTAACGCTAAAAATCGGGTTTCGACACCCATCGTGTGCAAAACACGGATAGCCCATTGTGTAGCCTTGCGCTTAACGACAAAACAAAAATCCTTGCACTTTTTATTGTTTGTTTTTAAACGAAAAAGTGCACAATGGGCTATATGCACTATGCTACCACAGGGATCGAACCTACGATATTAGCGTTATAAGCCCTGAGTCCACGAGGGCTGACTTTGTAAGAATATATGTACCTTCTATCAAAGACGAGGATGGTCTAGGAAAAGAAACATGGAAACTAAATTGTAAGAATGTTTGTTTTATACTTTTCTTTCCCTGTTGTAATATTAACTAAAACTGCATCTTAACCAGAAAGTAACAATTACATTAGGTATATTACGTTAAGAGTTATCAAAAAGCCATCAAAAGCGAGCTAAAATACTAAAGAATTAACCAGGATATTTAAGATATAAAATAAAGCTGAAAAACACGGGAACAGTGAAATACAATGCTTAGATCATATATATCAGAATAGCTTTAATAAATAAAGCTGCCGTATCTTGCTTTTAGAACATTTTAACTATCTTACCTGGAAACCCAAGACATAAAAGATGATGTAAAGAAAAAATATTGCTCGTTTTTTATACTAAGTATACTGACATTTCTAGAAGTTCCCGAATCATCGCATTCGCTGTACACAACTGAAATGGTAATCCTACCTCGTTTGAGTTTAGTAGAAGTTTTCTATCTTAAGTAATTACGTCTGCTCTGGAAGTAAGCTCAGATTAAGTAACATTTAAAGAGAGTTTCACATTGCTCTCAGTTAGCAAACAACATTCGATCTCTTGTTTGTCTAGGTCTTCAACAACATAAGATATTTTCTATGAACAGGTCTGTTTTGTCAACACATGAATCCGTCTATAGATTAGTAACCCTGTTAAGATGAGTTGCAAGATTTTGTTCAAGAGCAAAACAAATATATAAATTTCGCTCAGCGATCTTCTTTTATATCAGCGACAGGACCTATCTAAGAACATAATCAATTCGTATAATTAGTAGATTTAATAGTTTCGTTTTCAGTTTACTCACTTATTAAGTATTATTTTATTACAAGTTACAGCTTTTACAGTAAGGAAGATTTGGTTTTACATCAGGTATGACGTATCGATCATTCTCAAGTATACAACTTTTAATGGTAAAGAAGATTTTTAGTAGTTAAATCAACATTAAACAATCTAATGATGGATTCTTTAATATCTAAATCAACGTTGAACAATCTAACGATGTATTTTTAGTATTTAAATCAACATTCAACAATCTAATGATGTATTTTTTAAATATTTAAAGCAACATTAAACAATCTACCGATGTATTTTTTGTTATTCAAATCAACATTAAAGAATCTAACGATGTATTTTTAGTATTTAAATCAACATTCAACAATCTAATGATGTATTTTTTTTAATATTTAAATCAACATTAAACAATCTAACGATGTATTTTTTGGTATTTAAATCAACATTCAACAATCTAATGATGCATTTCACATTTTAGAATTGATAGAGTGGTTACTTATGCATGTGCATATTAATCTGTGTGAATTGACATATTATTTAATAAATAAACTTAATATTCGAAAATTGTTTAATCTCGAGGCCTAAGTTCAAGGGAGGTCTTGTTCAATATACATTTTGATCAAAGTGTGTTATTTATTGTGTGTTATACTAGTTTCGAAGAATTCCCCTCCTCTTCAGTAAACCTGAACCTAATCAAAGTGGTGTGGATACTTATTAATTGACCAAAACTACATTTGCAGAATGAAGTTATGAAAGTCTATAAGCACGCGAAGTTTCATGAAGGTTAAATGTTATATTCATACTTATTCATTTTCGTTTCTGGAATCCATCCCTCCATGTGTACCAAATCCTAAAGATTCCACGTGGAATAGGGTTAATTAGGTAAGGTATATGAAATGTTTTCCCCAAAGCGGATTTGTGAGGATTCTGGATATAGATAAAGATTACTGTAACAACGATACCAGAAAAGGTTTGGTAAAAAGTTTTCCAGATCTAACACCTCAACGACCATGTCAAAAGCTTGAGAATGGTCTCTGTTTAAACAATTTTATTTCATACACTCCTCTTTCTTGGTGGCCATGTTTATAACAAGTAGAATCTAACATTCGATTTAAAAATTCACTGTAGGTTAAAGATGTTTTCCCTCCACATTCCTCTCTGTTATGTTATAACAGATTTAAATTCAGAGCTGTGTAAAAATGACATCGCAGACTAGACTTATTTCTGCTACCTGTTGGTTCTTCTGCTTCGCCAGCTTTCGGCGTTTAACTCTTTTTATTTCCACTGTCACATTTATAGACAAATAACTCTTCCATGCAGTGTCAAGTTTATTTTTTAAATACATAATAAGAACAAAGAAACGAAAAACAACAACACTTGTTTTAATATTTCAGTTAGTTATCTGAGACTTGAAACTATGGGAAATCTGAAGGATTAGATCAATACTCTTTATTCGTGGTGGTACCAAAATTTCGGATCCCGGCATGGCCAAGTGGTTAAGGCACTCGACTCGCAATCTGAGGGTCGCGGGTT